AGTACCTATATATGTAATGTCAAAGTAATCAGACTTGCGTTTTTTTTTTTTACAAGAAGTCTAAAATATCACTTTTACCAAAAATGACAAAAATATTCACCAAAAATAGAGAATTTGAGATTTGACAAGAAATGACAAATCTGAGAAAAAAACATCCAAGGTACTTGCATATCAAATTTAAAAACATTCTGACTTGCGGTTTCAAAGAAGAAGTTGGAATTGTAAAGTTGAGATGACGGACAATCAATAATATGAACAGCTCTGCTGTGTCAACAGCGGAGCAAAAAAAGGGGAAATCTATAAAACACTGCAATATATGAACAAGGCTTAAACAAGTCTATATGTATACCTTCAGTTGACCACTAAGTGTACAGTTAAATTTTGTTTTCTTCTAATTGTGTCCAAGATTTTTTATTTAAATAGTTTTTTGTCATTGTCCCTGTAGAACTGTTTTCTGCACAGATTTTCTAATTGTAATAATAAAAGTTAAAATTAAAATAGCAACAGATAAAAGTAAAACTAGCACCACTGATTTGCATAAGGCATGTAGTCAAAGCTAAAAGAAAATTATTTTTTTGTTACAAGAAATAACCTTGCCTCGATACCTGAATTTTCCACTTACCCTGTAAATGAGATACCAGCATTAATCTTTACTGGTATGATGACTATTATATTATTGTCACCTAAGGTTGAGCTCTCCTCTGCATTAGAACTGAAAGTAAAAAAAAAAAAGTTACAAAACAGAATACTACCAACTAAACCAAACCAAAACAGCTAATACAATTTATAAAAAAAAAGCCAAACAAAAATGAGTGCATTTATTAATTTCCTTGAATACATGTACCGGTAATCACCTTAGACTTGACTTAGTAGTAAAACTATAATCCTAATGGAAGTCAATATGTCGCTTGGTAATGCTATAGAGTAGACACATGAATACTAATAGCTATATCACTGAAAATATATGCACTGGATTCCTGAACAAGATACTCTAGAATTATAATTATTGACACTATTATAATTATATTATAATATAAGACTTGACATCAGCATGTGGCCTTGAATTTAATGTATTGACAAAAAATATAATTTTCAAATAAATTTGGCAGGAAACCACATATAGCATTTATCCTTTGGAGTAGAAATATATGATGAGAAAGTAATTATAGCTGGAGACAGTATGTCTGGAGAAAATCACATACACACGCTGTGTAATAGTGCATAGCACTCACAATATTATTGATACATTGCCTTGTAATAGGCAGGTAAATTTCTGGTAAATCTGACCTGGAGATGTGTCTGTTGTAAAAACACATCAGGATAGGAAATATACACAGGAGATCATTGATAACTAGAAGGGTATTAATTCTAAAACACTGCCTTGGAGAAAACGTTAAGAAATTAGATACTGGTAGAAGTAAAAAATGTTACCTGTTTGCACTCAAAGATATCTCCTCCGTACTATAGGTAATATTATATTGAATAGTTGATAATGTCAGATCAAACTTAACCTATACAAAATATAAAAAAAAAGAGAAGAAATGTTGTTTGTAATATTCAAATATATAAGAAAACAATGGTTGCATAATTTGTTTACTGCGACAAACTTGAGCCTGCTGATACAAATTAGCTAGAAATATAATCAAATATAATCTTCACTACAAATACTGAGATGAGAAAACATAATTTCAAAGCTTACAAATTACCCTGTCTAGAAGGTGATTCAAATTTTACCGAGAAGTACATAATATACCACAAAAACAAGAATGAATTACACATTACCTACTAGTAATTATGAAACTAAATGGTACATATCTAATAACACTTCAAATTATTCTATAATTTGGATTTAAATACCTCTGTTTATAGAAGAAACATTACCAAGCAAAGTATAATCTGATATGACATTTGCATGTCACAGTTTTGTATAATTGATTGTCCTTGCATTGATTTGTTCAGTTCTAAAAAGCAGTACAACTCTTCTTAATGATTTTTTTGAATGGCATGTGCTAGCCAGGTTTACAGAATGAATTGTGAACACAATATGATACAATAAGTTTAAATACCAGTAACTGTTGTAATAGCTTAATATAACATTTACATATCCCGAGGACCATATTCTCAGTATACAATATATAATCTGTTAAAATTGATTGACAGTACAAATGTATGCAGTTATTCAATATGACATGACCATATTTTATGTTGTATCATACATACAAAGTAAATGTTTGTGTAGCTTGTACTATGTAATTTACCTTGTGTCCAGCACTAATGGGATTCCCACAGTCACATATGACTAATCCAATACCATTGTCAATATCCATACAACCCACTGTGTAGTCCTAAATAAGTCAATTGTACTTAATAAATAAATTAAGAATGCAAAAAAATATACATGAATGCTAAATCTTGAAAATTCACTAAAATTATTCACAGCTTGTTTGATAACTGTGAAAAATCAAGACTTATTTACGATAACACACATAGAATTTAGCTGTAGGGTTTATACAGAAAAGCTGAGATGTCGTGACATGATGGACAAATTGCATTAAGAAATACCCTGAATCTGAATGAATCAACATTGTATGCAGATAATTGGATCAAAAGAAGATAGAGAGTCAGCAGTATCTCCTGAAGGACTTCTGCTAGACCTTATCTGATTTATTTAATCTGACGTGAAACACTATCCAATATGTCACAATAATAATGGAATTTTCTTGCCAGCTTCTTAAGCAAGCATTCATAAAATATAAACAACTGTTGATCTTATTCCAATTTTAGTTATTTCAAATTATTCACAAGATTTTAAATTCACTGGTTTGTGATGGAATCAATTAAGGATATTTCCAATTTTAAATTAACACAATTAGCTATCAACAAAATGAAAATAAAACAGCGAATAATTAAACCCTAAACAGGACACTGTTTGTGGAAAGGTAATCAATTTATTTGTTAGTATTACAAGCAATGACAACATATAATTCTAATTATACACAGAATTAATTTATAAAAAGAGAAATACGCACTAGGTTTTCTTCTAGCAAAATTTATGTTGCAGGGATATTAACTAGATTATAAAGAAACAATACATTCTATGTTAACTTCAATTTAATAGTAACTTACAGAATCTCTCTTTTGCACTCTCACATAATGAAATCCTGGTGGTAACTGGATAGTGACTTGAGATTCAAATGCATCATCTCCATTATTTGTAACTGTTACTTCTAATATAACTAAGTCATGACTTCCAATATATATAGGAGATGACCTGTAAATATAATATTTAAACATTATAAGAACAAATTCACAAAGGCTTTAAATCAAATTTGTAGGTCATTACTGATACACCACTTGAAGACTTCATCTGGGCAGGACTGAGATAGGGACACATAATGAGGCATTCAAGTAAACACAAGAATCTCATTTGTCAGGGAAAATACATTTGTATATAATAAAAATTTGTTAAGTAGGAGAAAAAGCAGTTCCAATAACAGTATATGTCCCTAATAGTAATGCATTTTCAAAGATGACGTACATAACACATATGTACCACAACACACAAAAAGAAATGGGGAAAGAAAGTAATATCTCGGGATTGAATGCCAATTCCCTTCATCTTCATTTCATCTATAAATAGTGTTAATAATAAGACCTGTAGGTATGTTCTTTCAACAAGGTTATTGATGACGTCAATGGTGAACTCACATTTCTGCCTTGAGAGACAAATCTGGAACACAGATTTTGCTGTCCCCACAATCATTGAGAATATGAGCCTGAAAAGAATGGAAACATATCTATTTGAATACACTTGCTATATATATCATGTATCTAATTTTAGATTACACATAAAGATCATGTACGACACTGAATACATCTAGCTTCATAATAATTCAGATCACATATGCAGGAAAGCAAAACAACAAGAAACACCCAGAGCAAAATTACCATGGCAACTCATACACATTTCACTGAGTTGCTACAAAAATTTTGACAAAATAACTCTGGTATGCCAAGAGTGACTTGTAATGTTATTATATTCCAGTTATAATTAAATAAGGTTAAATGCGCCATATGTAAACTTTTCATTTCAATATTTACCCCAGTAGGCTAATTAAAAACAAAAAGTCATAAAAGCAGTAATGGACAGCAATAAAAAATCATCTGGTCATTAATATGTTATGTGGGCAAATGGCTGGAGAAGGAAATTAAAAGAAATGTAGATTGAATGAAACAGTAGCAGTGAATGTCACCACAAATACCATTTTTATGTCCTAGATATAGGCACACCAACAAAAGATTATCCTGTCATGTTGAGTTCTATGACAGCAAATTAATACTGATTATCATCTTCTATCTCCGTGTCACATGTGTGCGAAAACACAAAATGACCTAAATAAATAACATTAAAGTATTCAATGCTGCTAAAAGGATTCAGTTTTATCTACCCTCGCTGGATTTTCACAAACATTTTTCATCTATATAATTTTTTAGATATCTTGTCCTCACACTTTATGAATGTCAAAGGTTAAGAAACCTTAATCTTTTGAAAGTGCTCCTGAAAGTATTAAGCTCATTAAGTAATTATATTTATTAATTGTCCCTTTGAACCTTGTGTTTTAAATGCGGCGTGAGCTATCTAGATTTATACAGCGAGTTGAGAATATGCTACTCTAATGAGTCAAATATATGAAAGGGAATTAAGTTTGTAAATGTTTAAAACATGCATAAATCAATGGATAAAAGTACTACAACTTCAGCTACTCAGTATTCTGCCTATACAAAGTAAACCACTAAGAAGTTTCCAATTTAGCATGGTCAGCTAAGATCATGCTTTTAAAATATGTCTGATTGTAAAAGAATACAGAAGTATAGAATTGAACAGTAATCCATAGTGTAATCAGAAAGCCCCATGAAACACTGTTTATTACTAATTTTTTTACTCAAGAATTATGTCAGTTTCAAATGATAGAATATGTGGTGTCTGCTGCTTGTGAAAATGTAATACATTCAATGATGAGAAGGAATTATTCATAATATGCACCAAAAGATCAATTATATACAAATTTAAAATATTCGAAATAAAAATAAAATTTTATGTATTTTTTCAAGTACATGTACATATATTAGTACATGATCTTTATTCTACAAAAACACTAACCTGTTTCCTAATGACTGATGTAAGCTGTTTGTTGACAACTGGGGGAAGTTCACTCATGGAAACAAGATCTTCATTTTCTACAAGTTTATAACTCACATCAACAGCAATAGCAGAGTACTTGTCTTTGATATCAGACTGTTGAAGGAAAGATAATACATTGTAAATGGCAATACACATACTGTGCATATACAACCTTACAACTATGATATAGGTAATGTTCACATCAATGATGGCTTAATAATATCAGTTACAATGTGGTTTGGTTTGAACTATATTGGAACTACACTAAATCAATAGTGTCTGTATTCAGAAACTTATTTGGGCAACAGTAAAGCAGTGAATTTACTTAGTGGTTGTATGTGGACTGTCTGGTTTGGGAAGTGCAAAAATAGACTATACTTCACAGATTGTACGATTGTATACATTATGAACAGAGATACTTGAAAGGAAATGCATGCTGATTATATTGTCAGCATGTCCAGACAGTCATTCATAGCAGCTGTGCTACTGTACCCACTGATTATCTTATGTTGACAAACTATTATAACATAATGGCAGTATGGCTGACAGACACTACTTAATACTGACAGTGTGGACAGCAGTCTATCCTTACAGTGCAGACTGTGCTCTACAGTCTAAAAAACCAAAGGCTATACTATACCAGTCTATTAAGAATGACATATGCTATTTGTCCTGATAGCATACACAGTGTACAAATTAACAAGCCACTATGACCCAGATTGTGACTGTATCTACAGTCAGAATAAGACCAAAGACACTCCAGCATTAAATACTAAAATAAGTTCTGATAGAGGCACTATACATACATATAGATAGTTTGCATAGCAGTGAGTGCTATCTACATAGTGTAGAAGCCATTATCACATCTCACTGTTGTTATGCATGCTGTGATTGGTTGAGACTCAGCCACCTGACATTGAAGAAAAATGGATATTACATGGTACATTGCCTACCAAGTGGATATTACATGGTATATTGCCTGCCAAGTGGATATTACATGGTACAGGTATATCACATGGATGATGTCACTGAAACTATAACTGCACAACAATACTGCGCATAACAAATTATTGTTTGCTATCACAAAGAAATGATTTGTATGCTTATACACAAAGAAATTATAAATCTGACAAAACTATAATGAATTTAGTGCTATAAATGTGGAATGTAATCAGCTTTTGAGAGAAAATCATTAATATTGCAACATATGGCCGTACCTAAATGCAAAATCATGTGTGATTACCCATAATGCACTGTGCTGTAATACCTCTATCAAAGCACAAATCAAATTGTATACTAGATATTCATGGCATGCTACAATTTTGTTTTACCAAATGATTGTCAAATAGATAAAATTAATGATGCATATATACATATTAATGAAACTTGGCCACCATTAAATCTTAACAGGTGTTTTTTTTTTCAGTCAGTACAGAAATGCAAGGCGGAGGGCAATGAAATAGAAGAGTACATTAAATTTGTATTCTGCTCTGATTGCTTCAATATAATAGCAGATATAACTTTAATTGAAGACAAACACCGGCATGTTCAATCAGCATTATCAAGGCCAACACAGTGTAACTATCGTTTGTGAGATAACAAGAACATGGCACAATTTACAAGCCCATAAAGATTGCACCTGCACAGGTTTCTCCAAGATTACTTGGCTGAACCTTATTGATTAAGTTTCAGCTCTCCCTCAATGCTTGGGTAAACAAGACACAGCATCCATATTAAATGAAAGTAGATATCAACCTCCTCAAACATGCTGAGTAGACTGTATTTCTGATCTCTATTCTATATATATAACTGATTTAATGACCAAACAACAGCGTAAAAAATAATGCATTTTATTTATAAACCCACACGCTGGACAATTAAGTAAGCCGCCACCGTAATAAAAGTTTATATTGCCCAGTATTTATTATCCGTACACTGTTGGTTAACAATAGATTAATAAAAAACAGACTGAGCTTATTGGTGTGCGATGATGCAATTAACCACCTTGAAATTATAACACTCAATACGCTACTCCTTTTTCAAAAATTGGGATCTTTGATTGAAATCCCTATTTGCATTTATATTACTAGAAACTATTTTAACATTCGGCTGTCAAATGATCTGCAACACAAATAAAAATTTTAAACCTTAAAATTTGCTTTTCAAATTCAGTTGGAGATATTAAATGGAAAATTATGTAGATGTAGATTATCCTTTAAAATACTGGAAAGTCACTGTTCAAATATATATATTGTTTATTACTGTTAAAAAGCAAAAAATTGTCTGTATTTTATTCAAAGTAGGTAGCTTTGACCGCTACCAGACGATTTATACATCACTGAGTATATCTGACTGAGACTCATATTTAAGAAGATGTGACAGTGCTTATAATGGTTTATTATTGAATACTTGTGCTGCCCCACATTCACCACCAACATTATACAAGGTTGGTTTCATTATCATTGCATCAACTCTAATCAGAATGTCATGAATAGAAAACTTTGCACTGTCAACATATCAAACATAACCATTTTCTTTTGAATTCCCAACTAATGAAGGGTACAATTCCCACTGGATTTAGTTCATATCAACAAGAGGTTTAGGCAATATAAAGCCAATGAAACAAGTAAATGACTTCTGCTAAGTGCTTAGAATAATTTTATATCTTGACAAGTGATGAATGCAAAGAAATCCTTGTGGCTTAAAGTAAATATCAGGGAACTAGTTGTGGTTCTTACAATTAGGATACAAAGAAGAATGATAAGGCTGAATACATCCTTTTTTTTGTTCTTCTTCAAATCTGTTTTGTATTTCAGTCAAAAATACAAACTCAGTGAAGATTATTATTCTTAGTACCTCAAGTGTTAACACACATTAATACTTAAAGCGAGGGAGTCTTCACCTGCGCATGCGTCAGATGCGTGATATCGTTGACTGGGACTCAATTTCCGTGTGTGCGCAGGTGACGACCCTCTCGCTTTAATTTTGACAATAGCGAGAGAATGAAATTAATAAAGAGATATTTATTTTCAAATAATTAAAATTTTTGAAAATTTTTAACTTATTTGAGATTCACAGTTTTGGAAATCAATATAAGTTATGCATGGTAAGTTTGATACTAACAACATTTTATGAAGAGAATTTAGCATTAAAATTAAATTGTAGTGACTTTTCTTAGTACCAAAAAACTATTTCGAAAAGAAACAACATATCCTACAGCAATATCCATTACAAAATGTAAACATTTAAATACTTGTATGATGTGCACCTATCTCAAACAATAAGACTCATGGGAATTCAGATAGAAATTACCTGTTATCATAAGTTTGATATAAAAGCTTTTAAATCAATATCAAGATAAATCAAACGCATTTTAAATTGAATACGAATGCAGTTTCTGTGTATCTGTGAATTTTGCTGCATCAAGTAATCCCCAGGGAATGGACAGGATATGTTGCATTTCTAATCCCTGAGGAATACAAGTTCAAATAAGATATAGACATAAGTGATAAAGTCAACAATCGATAGGAATTTAAAATTCAGACGCTTGCCTATCCAAGTAGGTCACAGAACACTGCATCTTGGGAATAGTGTGAGCCTATTAATTAATAAAAGACTTATACAATGCCAACTGAAAGCCAATGCATGTTACATAGAATCTGTTGATTTAACTCTTTGGAAAGCCAGACATCATGATCGTGTAACAACTAAAAGCAATTAAGTTAAGAAAAGTTGCATTGAGTAAGTGCTGAATAGCTGTTTTTATTTCATGCACATGACTACATTTAAGTGTTAACTTTAATTATATATTTTAGAAATTCAGGTCAGTGTAGTATTGATTTTTTGATTCACCTTCCATAAGATTTATTAGGAGTTGCTGTATAGAAAGGTTTGTTCATCAGGGATACAAGTTAAGTTGCATGCAACGACTGGGCAATTTGAGCTATCTGTAGTTACAATTAATGAACTACTAAGAGCACTACATTTTTGTATTTTATGTATCTAGTTTATTAACAGTGATCAACAATTTGAGTTTATTGAACTTCTTTGTACTACTGCTTCTTTTTAGTGGACCTTTCTAATTTACCCTATGCTGTTTTTATGTCCCAACCTCACCTTTAGGACATTATTTCTGAGAAAATTTGTAGAATTATGTTGGTGAAAAGACAGAGACTGACTGTAAGTTTCAATCAGATAAAATTACTTTTAGCTTGGTGGATCAAGGAGTGGAATTAACAACATTAAAGTACAGTATTTTTAGCATCGCAATTTCCTGAGATAGGATTCTTCAAAATAATTTATCCTTCTCTGCACAAAATGTTTCCTTTGTAAGATTGCAGCCATTAAACCTTTCAACTTGAGTAGTTTCCCCTCAAAGTACAATGTACAAGCATGTAGCTTCATCTGCAGGCAGTGTGCATAATAAAGTGGCTATAGAAAAAGCTATAACAGTCACATCCTCACTAATTGCACTATATGACAGGATATAATGGTCATGTCGGTTCACTGCACCTGGTCATCTGGCCATGGTAAGAGTAATTTGTATGGGCCATTCTAGCAATGTTTTTAACAGCTGTGCATTGGTCTAGCAGTTTGTACTTTCATTGGCATGGTCTTTCTTGTTTGAGGGCAGTAAGCATTGCAATTGTTTTTTATTTAAAATATTTATAAAAGTTTTATACACTTGACAGCTGAAACAACTCGAACCAATCACAATGCCCAAGTGGATACCACCTTTATAAAGTTCTGTAAGGTCAGTGTGGCCTTAGTATTTAACAGCTGAGTACCAAACTGTAGTGGAAATACTACTTGTAATATTTTAAATATACATTTGTGAATAATTAGTTTTGCTGGATCAATGTTCTGCATAAATCAGCCTTTATTGAAGGAAAGACAAGATCTTTTCCAGCCAATGAAAACAGCTTGTGTTGATTTCATTTGAATGTAGCACAAAGGTCTTTTGGAGTAAATGTTTTATAAATGTTCATAAATAACATTCATGCCGTTTTAAATGTATTATTTTATAAAATTCTACAATTTATTGGTTATAAATTCTGTTGTACTGGGCCAAACATAAACATGGCAAGTTTCAATATTTAACTATAGACCTCTAGATATCCAGCACATTAATATGGAGAGCATGTACGAGATAATTCTTTAATGTTGGGAAAACAGGAAACTTTTATTCATATGATCAGTCGTAATAAAATTTGAATTGGGTAAGACAGGTATGAAATTCCCAGATGATGATATGACAGGAAGTATGAGATCATCTCTTGTCTGTCTAAAGGGAAAACATTGGCAGATGTATTTACCTTTAGAAACACAAAGTTTCCTTTACATAGTTCCCTTTTTTTCTTGTGTATGGTTAATGTGATCATTTCATCTTGTGCACCTGTCTCTCGGAAGTAAGCTCTCTTAGGGTGAAACTTCAAGGTATCCAAGGATATTATAAATTCAACTTCTGAATAAGAAAAAAAGGTATACATATGATATACATTGTATAGATAGCTTATCACATTTCAATTCTGTGTCAACTGACCAATTTTAACAATTTACATGAACACGAGAATACAGCCAGCTACTGAGTTCTCACTGCTATTGGTGAGAATGCAATCAAGTGATGAGAATGTAACCAGCTACTGGGTTCTCATTGCTCTTGGTGAGAATGCAATATAGTGATGAGAATGCAGCCAGCTACTGGGTTCTCATTGCTGTTGGTAAGAATGCAATCCAGTGATGAGAATGCAGCCAGCTACTGGGTTCTCATTGCTGTTGGTAAGAATGCAATATAGTGATGAGAATGCAGCCAGCTGCTTGGTTCTCATTGCTGTTGGTGAGAAT